TCGTCTTTTGTCGTTACCCCAACTGGCGGTACCGTTGCTCCCTCTATATGGTTCCGGGCTGCAGATGGAGATCTTGGACAGTACGCCTGGGTATTCCGTCCTCGGTCGTTACCCCAACTGGCGGAGCTGTTGTTGCCTCTCCCTGGTTCCCATGGGCGCCTGCCTGGTTGATTTTGACCTCGGCCTTGTGACCCTGTGCCAGGTGAGTCCCCCTGATATCTGGGTGACCAGTTATGGTTTCGCGAAGGACCTTGTTCGGCGTATGGTGACCTGTCGCGGGGTCTACCGTCGTACCTATTACGCCCGTTGTCCTAGGGTGGACGAGGGTACTGGGGCCTATCGCGATAATCTGATGAGGGATAAGGGACCGGTGTCCTATCACGATAATCCGGAGATCGGTTTCCCCCATAGTTTTGAGGGAAACCTCGGTCGCGTTCCGGAGATCGGTAGTCACCCCAAGGTGGAGGAGAAGACGGACGGGCAGATACGCCGCCCGCACTTAGCCGGGCCAGGTATTTCTTTAGCTCTTGTAGCTCATCTTTTGAGAACTGTACAGGGGCTTCCTCTACTTTATCATTCCCCGACTTAGTGCCCTCCGCAAACTCTACCTGCCTTCTAGGGTAGTGCAGCGCGCGAGAACCAAACAAAGCACGCTGATTGGCCACGGAGGCCTTTATGTATTTCAGAGCTTTGTGAACCGTCTTGGGATTCTTCTCCATGGCTCTCTGCGCTGCCATCTTCTTGTAGGCGCGTGCCTTGTGGTTGGCGCACATGTCGCTCACCGAGGACGCGATGCGTGCGCCTTGCAGGACGTTCGTTGTCCAACCTGTCGCGGGTCCGTCTATTTCTATTCTCCTCGCGGGTAGCACGCGCCGGTGTGGTTACGCCACAATTTGTGCTGGTTAAGGGCACCCTCGCGTAAGCACCGGCAACGGCCAAAGGCAGACCATGAGCAGGAATAGTATGTTGTTCTATCTTAACCTGTGTTTTCCCTAACTGAGTGTCTACAGTACGCGTCAGGTGATTTGGTACTCAGGCGCCCGCCGAGCGACAAATTTTAATCCCTGTCGCTCGTAGCCGCG